TCAGATTTGCTGTTGTAGTTCTCTCGCAGTGGCCACTTTCTCTAAACTCCTGCGAAATCTTGTGATTTTGCTATAAGCTTTTTCACATTCCGCTCTTCCCTTCCACACCAGATATTGGTTCATCTGGTCGTTGCATTCATTTTTCGATCTGTTGGAAACGACAGTGATGCATAAGTGTGCCGAGATTGTCGACATCTGACCCAACTTCACCTTTGACCCAGGCCCTCGGAAATAAACGGTCTGTGGCACTGGAGGTTTGTGGTATGAGAAGGTTTATAATAAAGGTATCACTGGACCCATTATGAACGAGGAAGCTCCATTACGAAAACCAGCGAGCAAGGTTAGAATTTGCTTAGAAAAGTGCCGACATTCGCAACACTCACCCTGTAAGGGAAGAGATAATACGAGGATATACACTCTCAATATCATCATCATTGTGCAGAGGGAAATTTCCTCTATTAATCCGCTATAAAGTGATTTCCTTGGGCCGGGATATGAGGGGATTCAATTCACTCATCGAGTGAATTGAACCCGCAATCCACTCGAATGTTTGCATTACTTCCCGAAATGGATTTTTCTATGGGCTCTTTTCCTTATACTCCCTCTTTCGTTCCATCCTTCTTTATTACACTTTATAATTCATTTTATTATTAAATTCGTAATAAATGTATTTACAATATTTACATTTTGATATTTTTTTTAGGGGAATCCTTGCAGCGGCCCAGCGCTGGAACGTGACCGATTCCTTCTGCTGGCTGGCCAGCGACGGCTGGGGAATCCAGCAGAAGCTGGTGGAAGGCCTGGAGGACGTGGCCCAGGGCGCCGTCACCTTGGAACTCGATTCCTCCGTCCTCAAGGAATTCGACCTCTACATGCTCAATCGGACGCCAGACAACAGTTTTCGCAATCCGTGGTACGGCTTCCGAAATAATCACGGTGATGAGTGAAATAATCAACCGAGTCCCTCTCTTGACGTGAAGACCCACAAGTCGCTTGTTACCCATCAATCAATGCCCGAACGATCAAAGGAAATCTCCGAAGAACATATCTCTCAGATGAGCCTTTTTTCTGGCCTCTATTGAATTCTTTATCCTCCTCCGGAACGACTCCGGAGTAGGGAGCATTTGTTATCATCAAACGAGATATTGTGTGCGCCCGGGTGCATTACCCGGCAGGGATGCCGGGATGCCTGCTTCTCCGCATCAATCAGATCGAGGACAATGGCCAATGCGATCGAGGGCACTGGCCAATCCGATCGAGGACAATGGCCAATGCGATCGAGGGCATTGGCCATTGTCCTCGATCGTCCTCGATTATTTTTAAAATTTCTTACAACTTTATTAATACGTTTGGATTCATTTTTTTGGAGAAAATTTTGACATCAATTAGCTTCCAAGTTATCCGCATAGCCGAGAATTAAGATCGGCGAAAATTGTGAAAAACTCGATCGATCGAGAAAATAGAGGAACTGGGTTCATTTTGCCTTATTTACCGAATCAGCAAATATATTAAAATGATTAAAAAATTTCATCGCCGTAACCAGCGCCTAATGAGTCCATGAAATGGTATGTGGAAAACCGTTTACACGGTTTCTACTTTGGTCAAACTCAACATCTCCCCGCATCCGTCTTCCACGATTATTTTTCATCATTATTTATTATTATTATTATTATTTTTTTTTTTAAGACAATTCAAATTTCTTTGCCATTTCTTGAAGCTATCGTGGCGCGGAAAAATCCACGGAATCCCCTCGAACGAGTACCTGGTTTTAACTGCTTAATCGATCCACTTTGACGAAGCATGTTCGAAATAGCAAAAGCTCCAATGATGCCGGAAGGGACGCCGCCCCTAGAATAGATCACGAACTCGAGGGAGTGGAGGGGGGGCTTCACAGAAGGATCAAATCAGACGGGGGCCTTCACAGAAGCGTCCAAGCCTTCACAGAAGGATCCAATCAGGTGGATGCCAGGGACACGAGAGCGGCCCATTTCGTCCCAAGATGCATCTCCACGATATCTGAAGGAGCCAGGGAAGCCGGACTAGCATGTTGACCCGCTTTCTGCACCCTCGGATCCATATCGAGTCCTTGGCTACGAATAATAGAGTGTCTCGCTTGGTACACCGGGGAGACGGGCTATGAATCCTAGGCAAAATATGCACTCGGATATTCTTTTAAATGGGCGTGGATGCCGCTTGAAATGGGCGTGGATGCCATTTGAAATGGGCACGCATGCTTTCTGAAATGGTATCTCATGCCTGCTGAAATGGGCACGGATGACCTCTGAAATGAGTTTTTCTGCCCCTTTGAAACGGTCATACATTGATTTGGGTTGTGGATGGCCACTCATCGAGTGATGCTACCTAGCAGTGCTTGGTGCATTGTCCAGATGGGGGGCGGGGGAGGGGCGGTGGAGGGGCTGGGGGTCAGAAGTGGGAGGTGGAGACCGAGGAGATGTTTCGAGAACTTTTTAGAGTCATGAGACATTTCAACCCTTTTTATTTCACTTCATCCAGAAACTGTATTTACTAAATCGAGCCACTGCATGTAATTTTTTTTCCTTACCCCTGACCAGACGGATTTACTTCTACAATCTACTTACCCTCATGCCCCCCCTCCCCCCCTGCCCCCCCCCCCTCTGCCCCTCCTTCGGACTCCCACAACTCCAGCTCTCAATAAAAGCATTTTTAATCGGAAATTTCACAGACATGGCCGGGAACGAAGTGAAGTTCGACGCCTCGGGAGACGGCCCGGCCCGATACAAGATCATGAACTTCCAGAAAATCCCCGATTCTCCTCACTTCGAGTATAAGGTGAGTACACTCCATGCATACCACATTTTATTTAATTAAATAATACGCACACTGGAGAAAATAGGAACCCCCAGTCATCTGCAGAGTGACCATGTTGACACTCCAGGATATTAATAATAATTTATATTTTGTTTTTAAAAAAATGTTCCTTAAATTTCCGCCAGACATTCAGAACACATTTTGCAGCAAAGTTTCAGCAGATTCGGTGCAGTAATTTTTTAAAATATACAGCTAAACAGTCTACCGACGTCTCGCTATTCCATGCATCAAAAAAGAACCTTGTTCAATGGTTAAACAGTTGAACAGTGTCGTCCGAGTCGATTCCAGGGGGAATTCAAGGGAACAGCCGCACGGTGAAACCCGCGTTGAAGTCACGATGAAGTCACGATGAGCCACGATGAGTAACGAACGAGATGATGAATAACTGGCTCATAATCGATCCGCATGCTTTCCCCCAGCACAACCCGAACAGGGAGTATTTTTTTGTAGAAAATATGTTGGTAATATGTTGATGAAAATTCCAACAATTTCTGATCATCAGTTCAAATATTATGAAACATTGGAATTCGAACTTGGCTGATTTTTATTATTAAGAGTTAGCAAGCTGCAATAACCCGCACGGAATTGCGAGGTATCACTCGAGTCAGCTTTACGGGTGAATGCATCGGTTAACATATAGGTGAATATGTAGGTGATGTATAGGTATTTTTAAGTATTTACCGGAATCCCTTTCAAGGATTCAAGAGCGCCAGAGAGGTTAATTTTGACATTAGTCCGGGATTAATACGGACTTAATTAATTGAGTTACTCGATTAATTGACTTGGACGGCCGAAGGCGCGAGATCTCCGCGTCCGCGGCCAGCCGCGTCCGTGTCCGCGGCCAGCCACCAGGTGGAGTTTTCAGGCCAGGGGTTGCTGAGGGAAGTAAAATCTGATCCCATATGGGTGTGGCGGTTTTAACGACAGGTTTTCCTAACCAGGTCCTTGAATTTTCGCTGTCCAGTCCAAGTTCAGACTGCAGACGGGAATCTTCATGACGTCTTGTGCTCATCAGTCATAATTAGAGGCGCGTCTTAAGGTATCATCATTCGATGACCAGCGAACACCTTTCACCTAAGAGGTAGCAAACACTCGATGATTGATGAATCTTAAGGATGAATGAATGTTAACCATTATTTGGAGGTATTATTGGGTTTCAAAGAACTTTGTGGGAATGATGGATAGTTTTCTAATATTATCGTTAAGTTGACGACAGAGCCATCTGTATGCGCTTCCGTCACGTGACCACACTGCCCCCTTCTTTCCTTCCGCGGTGAGATCCAGTAGTTAGAAATGTCATTAAAGTTCAAAGTGGCGTTGAGCTTAGCTGCGGTGGGGGGGTAATTCGGGGTGAGGTACTTTCTACTTAGGTATTTTATGCTTAGGTACTTTATGCTAAGGTACTTTATGCTAAGGTACTTTATGCTAAGGTACTTTATGCTTAGGTACTTTCTACTTTGGTACTTTATGCTAAGGTACTTTCCATCTTCAATTTCCTTGCTAGCATGTCAGCACGCGATCGCAGGAAATTACGAACGAGAGAATATGCGCTCTTCCAGCAATATGAATATTCTAGTGATTCTGCAATAGTGCATCGCTGCGATGCGAATGCGCTAACACTGCATTTGCTATGACAGAGCCATGGAATCCTTTCAAAAAGAGACGAGAACGGTCCAAGCGATTTATGGACTTGAAAACTCGGTCGAGATCTCTCCCGAGGGTACGAAGGGGGTGTGGGGGGGGGGGGGGAAATTAGATCCTGGGATTAAAGGGACGTGCGAGGGGAATTAAGAGGAATTAAGAAGTAAATCCATCGACGACTCCTTTCCTCGTCTGATCGCAGAATCTGAATTGTTGAATCCGATAATCCGATAATCTCAGCCACTCAACTAGTTTCGAGCTCTGAGGAATGCGAAGACGTTAAAGGGCAAGAAGTTAAAGGGCAAGGGACGACTGGGGAATGAGAACGGATGGCCTTCGGTAAGTCAAGGGCGTCTAGTGCGAAATTTGAATGAGCGACGGAGGCTTTCCCCGGACATGTTCGGCGAGAAACTCTCAAATTGCAGATATTTGGCAAAATTGCACGTTGTAAAATTGAATATTGTATATTGCGTATTGATTGACTTCGATTTCGGATGATGGTGTGATTGATGCATGTCAGTTTTATAATAAATTTTATGCATTTATCTCCGCTTTTTCCGAATGATTGAAATTTGCAAACTTTTTTTTGCAGGAAGTGGGATCGTGGGCGGACGGGAAGCTGAAAATGGACCCGAAGGAAGTGGTGTGGAAAAAGGGCTCGCGGGTGTTTCCCTCGTCCGTCTGCTCCCTGCCGTGCGGGATCGGGGAGGTCAAGTACATGCAACAGGTACTTGCAGTGCTGGTCGCGTTTCTAGATGGGTTGGGGGTCCGATGTCGGACTGGTCGTTGTGACAAGAATAAGGATAAGGGAAAAAAAAAATTAATTTGAAAATGGGCGGAAAGAAACCCAGAAAGGTAATAGAAATTTAAAAAAATGGAGGCGGGGATGAAACACGAATAAAAAAATTTGAGTCTTAAGAAGAAAGAAAAGTGAGGAAAGTTGATGTCTAAGGCGATGAAAGGAACCGAGAGAATCTTGCATGAAGCTTGAAATCCATCCATCAAGATTTTCCTGAGATAAGAGAAAGAAACAGCGTGAAGGCCAATTTTCTCCCAAAAGAAATGAGGGTGATGATACGCAGATGAATTCATACGGCATTATATATACATATTATATATACGGCATTATATATATATATATGCGAAGTCCCGATCGCGAAAGCTGATGGAAACGGCTTTGTTCGCCCAGGATTATGAGTGCTGCTGGGTCTGTTACCGCTGCCAGCCGCGGGAGTTCCTCGCCGACGAGTTCACCTGCCAGGACTGCGGAATTGGGAACTGGCCGCACGAGAATAAGACCGGGTGCTACGCCCTCTCCTCCGCTACGACGGCTGGCCCCGTCCTCACGTCCGTCAATTACGGTTCGTGCTCAGATTTGTGACATTTTTTAAGGGTGAACACGAGGTGAACACGAGGTGAACACGAGGTGAACACGAGGTGAACACGAGGTGAACACGAGGTGAACACGAGGTGAACACGAGGTGAACGTGTGAACGGTTAATTTTTATTTTCTACTTCAACCTGGCTATTTTGCGTGTGCGGCCATGTTTCGTCGCATCGATGTTTTAATTGCGATGTTTTGAAGCGATACCGGTTTGGCAAGGTCGAGCGGTGCCGACGGCGACCACCGGCGACCACCGGCGACCACCGGCGACCACCAGTGACAAAGAGATCCTGCAGCAGGTAGAAACATCTGGAGATTAATCTAGATCTGCGATTCAAACTGGCTCGCAGTTTCCCAGCGTTGGTAACCATACCAAATAATACAGGGAAACCATTAATTACATATTACGCTGTAACTACCTTGCACTTGTGTCGCTCTTTAAGGTAAATGGAATTTTTGCCATGGCAACAAACTTCGAGAAAATTGCTTCACTTCCAGCTTAGGAAAAATCTTTGACAAGAAGAATCTATTCTGCTTACATTTCAAAATTTTTGTGCGTGAGTGTCTGTGAGCGTGTGTGTGTCCTTCATCCACGGCCTGATCCCATTCCGACCAAACTTTGTATGGTTTCCTCATTTGGTCCAGGCATGGTCATTTGGTGGCGTTTCGAAATTCGGACCCCCCGCAGTACTTAATTTCGTGCAGGGGCCGTATTCACGAAAACTTCGTAGCTATGATAATGAGCCAACCAATCATAACCGACCTCGGGAACTGGCAAACCAATCGCCGAGTGAAACACCACGTGCTTGTCACGCTGGCAGCATGACTCACGGGTCCCATGTCACAAGAGCCTTCTGCAAACTTCCTGCGTATTCCGTGCCATTGTTTTTGCCCTTACCGGAAGTTTTAGCATCATTAGAGGTCCTGCCGAATCTCATCGTAGAACGAACTACCTCAAGGTTTCAGAAATGCCAAAGGATAAGTTCTGGATCCAGTCTCAACTTTGGTATCATGGAGAGTGGAGCAAAGAGTGGTCGACGACCGAATTTCACAAGTGAAGAAATTGGGGTGCTCGTCGAAGAAGTCCAGCGAAGAAAGAAAATGTCTTGCTGGGGGAATTCAGCGCAAGCGTCACGACCAAAATGAAAAAAAACTGCAGGGATGGGATTCGGTGGTTGAGGCAGTGAGCTGTGTCTCCTCTGTGCGTGCGATCTGCCGATGAGGTAAAAAAAAAAAAAATTCATGGACTCGAAGTTGGAAGTGCCAAGGCGAAGGGAGCACAGTTTCTTCGGGAAACCAGCAAGACTGGCGGTGGACCACCACCTTCCCCGCTGCCTGATTTATGTCAAAGAATTATAGCAATAATTATAGCAATAGTTTCGTCTTCCCTCGGTGACACTGGATGTACCAGCCAGCAAGAATCTTCACCATCAATTCACAGTGAGTGATAGTCGAAGAACAAGGGCATACCTATTTTATATTTAATATGCTCATATTAAATATTTAATATGCTCATATCTTGTTCATGCGTTCTTTCGATAGTTCGATTCGATTCGTTCTGTTCTTTCGTCAGATCACGACTTGCTAAAATGGGGCATGATACACCTACGAGATTACTAATTTTTATATTCCTAGTTCAATCTGGAGAGGATTTTCAAGTCCAATCGCGAAGTGACACAACGGCTCGCTCATCCGGGGAGGGGGAGGAGGAGGAGGAGGAGAAAGAAAGTTTGGAGAAGGGGCGGAATGAAGGTGAGAGGGAGATGTCCCCCGAGGCATTTTCGTCCCATCCCTTAGACCCGAAGCGCAGGAAACCCCTTCAAGGAACACTGAAACGCGATCGAACGGGAAAATCCGATGAATTCGGATCTTCTGCGGAAGCCATGATGGGATTCCAGCAAGAAATTTTGAGCGAACTGCGGCACATCTCTGCTACGCACACGGCCATCGCTAATTCATTGGGAAAACTGGCAGACACAATGGAAAACTTTTGCCCACCCAGGAATTCCGATTAACAATACTTGTGCCATTTCTTTTTAATCTATCTCATTAATCGAGATCGTAATGAATTTCCTGCATATATATTCTCTTGCTTCAAGTTTTAAATATTCTTGATACAGTTACTTTAAAAATATCTTTTTGGATTCTATAATTCCATCAATCCCAAGAGTGCGTTGAAATCCGTCGAGGGGGAGATATTTGCATGTGGCAAAGAAAAGAAATACAGAGATGTGATTAAGGCTTGAATTTTGCATTATTTTTGCATGTGCGAGGATAGTCCACTTGCCAGGAAAAAGAAAAGAATATTTACTTAGCGAAAAGAAATACTGAAATATGCAACATTGTGTTTTACGCTAGGTAAATAATAGAATTCACTCACATCTTCCATAAAATTAGAATTCATTAAATCCTTGATCAAGAAAAAAAATTATGGATCACTTCATTCCTCGCTTTAAGTCCTGCTCATTGGGTTCATGATCCTCTTGACGGGGGTCTTCATGAAATATACATAAAAATTTATAAATTTATTATAAATTTCCACTTCGGGAATGCTTCGTGATCGAGCGATGTTGTGCAATATGCAGACCGCTGGCACTGATCTGCAGACTTTCTCTGGAGCATATTGGTGAATTCCTCCCGATTTATCGAGAAGCGTGACTTGAGCAGTCCGAAGGCTCTCTCGATCGTTACTCTTGTCTTTGAATGCGCGACGTTGTACCGTTCTTCGGCCGTGGTCCTGGGGTCATCTAATGGTGTCGAGAGCCAAGGCCTCAGGGGATATCCACTATCACCTTTATTGGAATTAAGGATAATGCTTTTACCTCAAAGCTCTCATACGCTGAGGGTCATCAGCATTTTCATGTAACCACTTAATGAGTCAATCTCAATTTTCATTAACTTGAAAATTTCTTCGCAATCCTTTCGATTATAAAAAAAATACTATATATACGTGGTATATTTATACTTTATATTGTGAACACTCACCAAGTAGCCAGAAGCTTCTGGGGGTATCGAAAAAATCCCACAACCAAGATGCTCTCAAAACAAACGAATCATGGGCGCTTCCAGGCCATCTGGCAACGATGTTACTGAAAATCATGTCAGCATTGCAAACTGCTTGTACGTTGATGGAATGCCACCCTTTGCGGTTAACATAAAGGGGTTCGTCTTCCCCCGAGGGGGCTCTGATGGGAACATGGGTGCAATCGATAGCACCAATCACTTTCGGGAAGCCGGCGATGCTAAAAAATCCAGCTTGTGTCTTGACGACATTTTCACCTGACGGAAATTGCACCCACTTTCTCCTATACACATTAATCAGAGAGAGATTGACTTCGTGTAGTCTGCCGTTGTAGATGATGCAAAAGTTCCCCAGTGATTTCAAGGATGATTTGCTTCGGAAACCTGTAGTTCCTCATCGAGTCATCTTCCGACGCTTGGAGGGGGTCGTGTCGATCTCGAAAAGCTCTTTCTCTTCGGAGAGCACGTCGATAAATTTCTGAGAGAACTAAGTATGGGCAAGCCATCGCAGACCACTGTTCAAAGAAAGACTACAGCCTCTGGGATAAGGTCATGTCAGGGCAACCAGGTCGAGGAATTTTCTATTGTCATCGGAGGAAGGACCCACCCATGGACTGTCCCAGGTATAAATGACCTCATGACCTGAAGCGAACAATCTCCTGAAATGTGAATGACCTCATGACCTGAGGCAGTATATCTCCGAAACGTGAATGACCTCATGACCTCTGCGGCAAAATCCTGTGAATAGTGTGGATATACCCTGTGAACCCCCCAGTGTACATGAGCCTTAGCTTAAATGAGACACCCAATGGAAGAGAGTTCCACAGATTGCCTCGACATCATTATTCCGGCCACTTACGATACCTCGGGAGCATTCGTAGACTTACGAAGAAAGATACCAACTTTTGCCCTTTCGTGAATACCGAAATTGTGCAGCATTCTTACGAACTTCGTACGAAGATCGTACGAACATCTTACGCAAAAATGTTTCATGAATACCACCTACGAACTTTACTCTTCTTACGAAGAAAAAGCTCGTAAGAATGTTTCGTGAATACGGCCCCCTCGACAAGAGCCTAAACCTGGAACTTTCGCGGCAAGTTTGAATATCCTGCCGCATACTTGAACGCTTGATCCTCTTGTTTCAATTCCCCTATGGGATCTGGCCGGTCAGAAGCGAATCCTTGTTTATATTGCTTCTCTGAAGAAACTGACCTCCTATCTTTTCGAGATGTATTCCCAGTGGTACATTCTGACATCACGCCTGAATCAAGATGAATTGGAAAACTTTTTCAGCCAAATCAGAGCAGCAGGCAGGTTTGATACATGATGACAATGACCCAGAANTTCCAACAGGAGAGCAATCCGGTCTGACCTTTCTCGATTAAACAATGGAAAACTTTTGCCCAGCCAGGTATTCCTATTAACAATACGTGTGCCATTTCTTTTTAATCAATTTCCTTTTAATCAAATCTCATTAATCGAGATCGTAATGAATTTCCTGCATATATTCTCTTGCTTAAAGTTTTAAATATTCTTTATACAGTTACTTTAAAAATATCTTTTTGGATTCTATAATTCCATGAATCCCAAGAGTGCATTGAAATCCATCGAGGGGGAGATATTTGCATGTGGCTAAAAGAAAAGAAATACAGAGATGTGATTAAGGCTTGAATTTTGTATTATTTTTGCATGTGCGAGGATAGTCCACTTGCCAGGAAAAAAAAAGAATATTTACTTAGTGAAAAGAAATACTGAAATATGCAACATTGTGTTTTACGCTAGGTAAATAATAGAATTCACTCACATCTTCCATAAAATTGGAATTCATTAAATCCCTGATCAAGAAAAAAAATTATGGATCACTTCATTCCTCGCTTTAAGTCCTGCGCCTGCAGAGCCTTCTTGCTCATTGGATTCATGATCCTCTTGACGGGGGTCTTCATGAAAGGGAGTATAGATTTCCACTTCGGGGATGCTTCGTGATCGAGCGATGTTGTGCAATATGCAGACCGCTAGCACTAATCTGCAGACTTTCTCTGGAGCATATTGGAGAGTTCCTCCCGATTTATCGAGACATCGAAAGCGTGACTTGAGCAGTCCAAAAGCTCTCTCAATTGTTACTCTTGTCTTTGAATGCGCGACGTTGTACCGTTGTTCAGCCGTAGTCCTGGGGTCATCTACTGGTGTCAAGAGCCAAGGCCTCAGGGGATATCCACTATCACCTTTATTGGAATTAAGGATAATGCTTTTAACTCCAAGCTCTCATACGCTGAGGGTCATCAGCATTTTCAGGTAA